ATTACAAAATTAATAATAAAAATGTAAAAAAATAAATCAAATTTAAAAAAATAAAAAATGTGTAAAATGTTTTCTGAAAAAAAAAAGCACAAACCCCTCCCCCCACACACATAATATACACGTGCACCATATTGTGGTGTAGGCCATGCACATGTGCTGCAGTGTGTTGTTAGAACGCATCGGAAGTGCATGATTTTTTTCTTTTTAAAAAGCATTAATTTAACTGTGGCAGCGCATGGCAAAGCTTTGTGACGCATTGCCGTGCGTTATGATACCTTGTGTTGCAATTAAATATACGCCTGTATCATTTTATCACAACACAAACACAGCGCAAAAACGATTTTTAACATAAGTCGCTTATTTACAGTTTTCTGTTCCTTCATTTTAACACTAGCAATGCAGAAAATCAAATCAATGGGAAAAATTTCAAAAACTGTGTGGCCGGCTGAGGTGCAAAATTTTCCGGAGGGCTTGGCAATGAAAGGTTAAAACCGAGATGTACAAATCCCGGGAGCTCCGTGTGCTCCTTACAAATGACAGCCGCCTCCTAACTTTTTGAATTTTTCTCCAGTCTAGTCTTGGAGCTGGAAATGTATCTGTACTTGTACTTGTACTGAGTACGGTACTTGGTATCTGAACATCCCTACCTAAAATGTTTTTTCTTGACTTTACCTGGGATATTATAATATAAGTACATTTAAAATGAATTGCAAGAGTGGATGATGATGAGAATAACAGAACATATAGTAAAAAGAATTACCCAGTATGGATTACTTAATTTCCAACAACAATATATAACTGCAAAATGTTAGTAATCTAGGTCCCTGACAAGTGCCAAAACACCACTTACCACTTATAGTGAGTGTACAGTAACCCAAAAGAACTGTACCACCACTGACCAGCCGTAGTCTAGCCCAAGTGGGTACGGCCAAAAATGACTTACATTTCATACACTCTGTCCCTTTTCTTTCGTGGAGAGCCAGATCGTTGAGGTAGACATATGGCACTGTCAGGGACCTGCCCATCCAGAAAACCATCTAGAAGCAAAGTATAGTATACTTATATAAAACTTACCAATAAAACCCAAATGGGCCTAGTAAACTAACAGAAAGGGTAGATGGAGATAATTCCTTTTGCTTTCCTACCTAAAATGGTTTGCTGCCTCACCAGACACCAGAAGATGGCTCCTCTTAACTATGCCCTGACTAATAGCCCACCTATTCTACACTATCAAGCCCTCCCGCCCCATTAGCTATTCAAAACTAAATAAACCCCCCCTTCCCCAATAATTGCCGAACCCTTCCATTTCGCTCTGCCCTGTATAAGGCCTCTTTCACATGGATGGTCTGATCGAGTCTGCCTGTCAGTTTTTCAGCTGGATACCCATGATAGTCTATAGGCAGCTGGGTCTACACAGATGGGTGTCTGTTTACACCTAGTTATCCCCAACTCTGTCCAGGTCTGGAAAAGCAAACAGAACAAAGTTCTGTTTTGTCGCACCTGATCGCGCCAGATCAGGGGTAATCTGATGTAAAAGGACACATGTCCCTTTACATTCGACACCCTATAAACCAACATAGGGTCTGTCAGTTTTATTTATTTGCTCCATCGCAAAATGGAGGAAAAAACTGGACAGACACAAATGTCTTATCGGTGACATTTGGTCCGTAGTGCTCCGATCAGGAGGGGATCCGTGCATGGATTTCTGCTTGATCAGCCTAATGAAAGAAAGGTCATGTCCCTCCTCCGACAAAGGCTCCAAAGGGGACTAGATAATTCCTACAACACAAGCTTCACAACAGTATACCAAGCTTACCTTTCTGTTTTGCGGAAATCTATTACATGGAAATAAAAAGGGATCTCTCAAGTAGAGAAACAGACAAAAATAAAGAAAAAAAAATAATAGTGCTTCCAATCCTTTCCCATTCCATTCAAATTAAAAATAAGTGACTTTGTTCCATCTGCAACACCCCATCCCCAAAAAACAGATCCAAATCTATGGCCTCCAATCAAATTTTAGGACATTCCAACTAAAATGTATTTCTCTCCATCTCAGCCAGTGTAGTGAATATGTGCTATTTGATTGCTAGCTGACCCCATAACATAGCCCAATGTAATCTGAGATAACAACAACCTGGAGACATTCTGCAAAGGACCAATATGGAGCACACAGCAGGTTTTACCCACCACACATGCCTGCTGTTGCAAGTGGGGTTTTTGAGAAACTTGCTGTTGCTTCCAAATAGCTGGAGCTCACAAACATTTTCTGTGTAATGCGTGAGGTCAGGCGGATGATTGGCGGCATTTGTCAGAAATTAGGTCACTTCTGATCTCTTACTAAGGTGCCAGGCTCACTGCAAAAAAAAAATGAAAAAAGCAAGCAAGTAAGGAAGAAAGCTAAAATGTTTCTTGAACTTTACAAGTCCAATCTCATTCTCCATAGGCTGCCAGTTAACATTTAGTAAACACCCTCTGCCCCCCTTTGCAGAAGTCCTCGCAGAGTCCTTTTCGAATACTGAATACCTTTAATAGTTCCAGTTCTCCTACCCCAAGACCTGAGCAGTGTTGTCACTTGGATGGATATACAGGTGAAACTCGAATAATTAGAATATTGTGCAAAGTTCATTTATTTCACTAATGCAACTTAAAAGGTGAAACTAATATATGAGATAGACTCATTACATGCAAAGCAAGATAATTCAAGCCGTGA